GGGCCCTCCAGGGCTGCTGGTTCCCAATCCTGCCTGGCACTGGGGGCTTCAGGGATTAAGGGACTTACCTCCTGACTGATGGTTTGCTTGCAGCTGTTTGCCATCTTCTGGAGCCCTCTGGCGAAATCTACCTCTGGAGGGAAAAGGTTGAAAGTGAAAAGACACACGAGACACTGGGATTTCCCTGGTGGAACCCGATCTCCTTTTGAAAAATCAACCAGGAGCTTGAGGAGTGAGGCTCCCACTGCCCTCCTCCAGGAGGGACCTCAACCTCAGCCTGTCCCATGGCTCAGACCTGCTCCAGAAGAGACCCACCTGCTGTCCCCCCACTCACCCAGTGTGGTCCTTTTCTCCATGTATCCTATCAGGTCCTTCATGTACTTGGAGATGGTTTTGGCGTACTGGAGGGCAGCATCCACGCCCCCCTCGCAGCGCTGCAGCATCACATCCACCTCTTCAGCAGGAGGACGGGCTGTGGGGGGACAAACACCCCATGAGCTTCCAGGGCAAGCACCCCCAGCTCTGTGCCAGCCCCAGTGCCCCCAGCTCTGCTGCCTTTCCCCAGCTGAGCAGCGACTCAGGACAGCAGCGATGATGAGGAAGGTGCTGGTCCCTGCACAGACCCCAAACCCTGCACCCAGCCCCATCCTGCTTACCTGTGGCACAGCTGTCCATGCCTGAGGGCACTCCATCTCCTCTAGGCCCAGGAATCCCCCCATAGAGGCTCTCCATACTCTTTGGGAATTGGGAAAGAAGAGGGATTGGTCAGCCAAGAGGATGGGGAGCAGCTGGAGGGGCTGGCCAGGTAGATGGAAGCCTGAGCTACTGGAGCCTTTTTGCCACTGCTGGAAGTCAGCTGTGCCCAGGCCGTGCCCAGGAGCTAAGGGGACTGTCACCCTGCTCTGGGCTCACACCAGAGCTGAGGGGAGCAGCCAGAGCCCCGTGCAAGCCCCACATGGCAGCGGCACCCAGGTCTCCGGGCATCCCTCACCTGGTTCTGGTCGCTGGGTGGAATGGAGAGGATGGTGCTGCTGTCCACCTCCCCCATGAGGAACTCAGACACCCTGTGGGGAGAGGAGCGTGGCTGGACTCAGCACAGTGACACGGGCTGGCTGCCCAAACTCCTTTACAAACTCCCAAACACCCCCTGGCTGCTCCCCTGGCTGCTCCCTGCCCAAGTCCCTTACGTGCTGCTGAAGGACACGGCGATGGTCTCCACAGCCTTCTCGAACTCCCTCTTGTCTGCCTCATTGTTGGATTCATAGTGGAAACCTGGAGGTGAGGAAATGTGACAGCCCTGTTGCCACCTGCCAGTTCATGCTGGTATCAGAGAGGGTTTTGGGGCTAGGAAGGATCATCCCCATGGATTTTTCCAGCACAGTAGTTTCCCCCTCCTTCTTCCCAGGCCTGACGTCCCTGACAGCATCTCTTGGCTCGTGTTTCTGTTTATTCCCGTTACTCAGGGCTGCTGGAAAAGTGCTGCTGGACCTGTTCCACTGCCTGCCCTGCCTCATGGCTCCTCCAGACCCCTCTCCAAGCAGGATGAGCTCCTCCAGGAGGGTTCTTGCCCGCAGTCAAATGAGGAACCACCACCAGCAGCAGGAACTGGGGCTGAGAGCACTTGGCAGGCTCCCATACCACGGGACACCAGCAACCAGGGCTGCTGGGCAGACCCTGGCTCAGCTCCTCGGGGTGGGGAGGGGTCTGCTCCAAGCCCATTCCCCCCCATCCCATGGGAGCAGCTCAGAGGTGAGGAGAATAAGAATATGTGGAACCAGCCCCATGGCAGCCCTGCTGCCATCCTGTCCCCTGTGGTTACTGTTGGGCGTCCAGGAAGCCGTGGGTGACTCAGAAGGTTGTGCTGTGCCTGTGGTGGGTGACAGCAGCAGGAGGTGGTGCCCAGCTGGGATGTGACCTCCCAGACCCCGCTCCATAAACACGAGAGGCTGCCAGGAGCAGGATCTGATCACTTCAGTGTTTTTCCTGCGGCTGTGCCTGGAAACCCCCAGGCAGGATCTGTCATTTCTGACTCTACATCATCCTTGAAGCTGAACCACACCGAGAGGCAGACGATGCTTTTTTTTCCCTCTCCACCAGTCCATGGGGCACCTCCACTCCCTGTAACCCCTTCATGGGCTCCCCAATTCCCTCCCATCCCAGTGTGGGGCAGGAGGGGAGTGGGACAGAGCTGCCAGCACCACTGTCTCACCCTTGACTTTGGAGATGAGGGTCCCAGCGGCCGTCAGGGTCTCCAGGGTGTTGAGCAGGGGGTATTTGTTGATGACCTGGCGCAGGATGCGGAGGGTTTCACCCAGGCACTCGTGGGCCAGCGGCCGCTGGGGCTCCTTGGGGTCTGCAAGAGAGGGAGGCTGAGATGCTGCATCCTTGTGCCATGTCCTTGCCCTGTGTCCCTGCCCCCTGCCACTGCTCTGCATCCCTGTGTCCCTCCCCTGTTTACCTCCCAGCCATGTCCAAGGCAGGGATCTGCCATCTCCAGACTATGCAGCAAATCCCCCTGGCCTCAGGGCTCCCCAGGACTGGCACAGCCACATCCTGCTTGTCCAGCACCTCCCCAGATCCTGCTTGTCCAGCACCTCCCCACAGCGTGGCCGTGTGTCTCCTGCCCAGCCTGGTATTGGCCAGGGGGCAGCCTGACCTTTGAAGCATTTTTTTCTTCCACAGTAACTTTTCCCCTTGAAAGCAGTTTGGGAATTTCCTCCATTTCCTTCCTTCCCTCCTGCCGGATGGACGCTCCCAGCCAGGAGGGATGGGCCTGGTCCAGCCAGGCTTGTTACACCCCACAGGTTCCCCCCCTTCTGTGGGCTCCAGTTGCCAGCCCAGGGGTCTGTCCAGAACCCCCAGTGCAGGTCTAGGGCTGGTTAGGAAGTGAAGAACCTCCCTCGGGGAAGTGCTGACATGGGGGATCAGCACCCACTGCCCAGCCAGGCAAAGACCCCTCCCCATGCCAGCCCCCAGCTCACGGCTGGAAAGGGATTTCTGCAAAACCAGGACTGACAATGTGGTGTCAAACACCCCCAGACCACGGGATTGATATATTCCCTGTGTCCCCTCGGGCAAGGAGAGCCTGCAGACCACCCAGCCCCTCCTTCTGGCCGCCTTGGTGGGCTGGGGGGCCGTGCCCAGCACCCCGTGGGGCCCTGGCAGGCAGCTGGCACCGCTGCGCTGTAAACAGGAAAACGGGCGGGTGAAAATAGCTCGGGCAGGAAGCTGCGTTATCCCGGCTCCGAGCTGCTCACCCACCACTCACCCACCACCTCTGCATGCTCCCCCGGGGGCCTTCTGGCCCAGACAGAGACCCCTCACCCACGGGTGGGTCCGTGCCAGGGTGTGCCAAGGGTGGGCACTCACCAAGGGTGGGCACTCACTGAGGGATGGGCACTCACCAAGGGTGGCACTCACCAGGGCAGGGGCACTCACCAAGGGTGGCACTCACCAGAGCATTGGGCACTCACCAGGGCATTGGGCACTCACCAAGGATGGCACTCACAGGGCACTGGGCACTCACCAAGGATGGCACTCACAGGGCACTGGGCACTCACCAGGGATGGGCACTCACCAAGGATGGCACTCACCAGGGATGGGCACTCACCAGGGATGGCACTCACAGGGCACTGGGCACTCACCAGGGATGGCACTCACCAAGGGTGGCACTCACAGGGCATTGGGCACTCACCAAGGGTGGCACTCACCAGGGATGGCACTCACCAAGGATGGCACTCACAGGGCACTGGGCACTCACAGGGCATGGACACTCACCAAGGGTGGCACTCACCAGGGCACTGGGCACTCACCAAGGATGGCACTCACTGAGGGTGGGCACTCACAGGGCACTGGGCACTCACCAGGGATGGCACTCACCAAGGATGGCACTCACAGGGCACTGGGCACTCACAGGGCATTGGGCACTCACCAAGGATGGCACTCACAGGGCACTGGGCACTCACAGGGCATTGGGCACTCACCAAGGATGGCACTCACAGGGCACTGGGCACTCACCATCGCGCAGCACCACGTCCCGCAGCTTCTCCAGGGCATCGGCGAAGCGAGCCACGTCTGCCAGCAGCTGGGAGATGTCCTCGGGGTCGATGAAGGGACTGTCCCCGCCCTCCATGGGGCTGTAGCACAGCGGGGTCTTGTGGCCCTTGGGCAGGGGGAAGCCGGCGGCGCTGGCATGGCGGCTCAGGCTGGTGGGGCGCTTCAGGGTGCCCACGGTGCCAGGGCTGCTGCTGAGCTTGGCACTGCCCGCGGGCAGCTCCGCCACGCTGCAGCCCGGGGCATCCAGGCAATCCTTGCGGGAGAGCTCCTGGGGAGCAGGGGGAGTGTGAGGATGCAGCGCGGTGGGAGCACAGAGAGGGAAACACCCCACGCCTCCATGCTGGAGAATGAGCCTTGGGGGACTGGTGTCAGACCCTGCAGCTGCGTTGTGCCTCAGTTTCCCCAGGTAGGGATCTGTAGCCACGATATTTTATGAAAAATCCCTTCCTTAGGATTTTTTCTCCTGAGAAGCTGAGAGGCTTCAGGATCAAAATGTGAACAATGGTTATCTGCTGCTGTGGGATGCAACAGGTGCATCTGGGATTGGTCTTATTCAGTTGTTTCTAATTAATGGCCAATCCCAGTCAGCTGGCTCAGACTCTCTGTCTGAGACACAAACCTTTGTTATCATTTCCTTTTCTATTCTTAGCCAGCCTTCTGATGAAATCCTTTCTTCTATTCTTTTAGTATAGTTTTAATATAATATATATCATAAAATAATAAATCAAGCCTTCTCAAACATGGAGTCAGATCCTCATCTCTTCCCTCAACCTCAGACCCCTGAGATCCCCAGTCACAGGGATCCCCTTTGGGACTGTCAGGGGACAAGGGGCAGGGTCTGGGCACTCGCCTGGCTGCCCCCATCAGTCCCTGCCAGCTCCTCTGGGTCCATGTTTGTCATGAAATGCACACAGTGACGGTGTGGGTGACACTGCTTGTCCACCCCAGCACCCACCGTGATGGGGCTGCCCATCCCAAGGGCTTGGGGACCCCAAAAGAGCAAAATGGCAGCAGGATCTGGCCCACATATCTCTTCCTCTTTTTCAGCTGTTGCCATACTGGGGAAGAAGACAGAGACAGAGACACCTCCCAGGATATTCTTTGGGTTTTGCAGGTGTTTTACAGATGGAGGAAGCCCCACATTTCTAGGGGTAAAATTGCATTTCTGGGGGTAAAATGGCAGCAGGATTCGGCCCACATATCTCTTCCTCTTTTTCAGCTGTTCCCATGCTGGGGAAGGAGGCAGAGACAGAGACACCTCCCAGGATATTCTTTGGGCTTTGCAGGTGTTTTACAGATGGAGGAAACCCCAAATTTCTAGGGGTACCCCTCCCTCACTGCTCAGAGCTGTCATGGCTTGAGAGCCCCACATCCACTGAGACTCCTTGGGCACGGGGAGGGGACCCTGCAGCCCCTCTGCAGCTCCCACCGGCGACCCCCAGCACCCGGCTGGACACGAACGAGCAGAACCTGAGCATCCCCGGCCGGGCGCTGCCGGAAGCGGTTTTGCACCGGGGAGCAGACCCGGAGCACCGAGAACACGAGGCTTCCGCGGCCGAGGGCGAACGGGGGAGCCCATCCCCACCGTGGGGCTGCAAGGAGGCACAAAGACCCCCGCCCCAAAACGCCTGGGGGTCACCGCAGCCCTGTCCCGCTCCTCCCGGCTTGCAGCAGCCCCGGCGCCTCCCGTCCCTCCCTCCGGTGCCCCGGGGTGCCCCGGCCGTACCGTCAGCCTCACGGCGGGCGTGCGGGGCAGCGAGTCCAGGGATCGCTGGGGCTGGTGGGCTCTGCCCGCCGCCGCCGAGGGGCTGTAGCTTTTCTTGCCCGCAGCCCGACCGAGCATCCCGCTGGCTGCCACCCATAGGCGCCTCTCCCGGGGATGGGGACGGGGATGGGTGTCCCGTGCTAAGGAGCCGCGGGTGGGCTCCGGGTCGCCGTCCGCATGGTGCCAGCCCGGTGTGGCCTCACGCACCGGGAGTGGGGCGCAGGCGCGGGGCGGGCGGTGCGGGGTGCCCCGGGGAGCCCCGGCGGGCAGCGTTTCCTCCTGGCCCCTCCGGTACCGGGGGGTTCCACGCGGTGGTTAATAAATGTCTGGCAGAGCCAAAACAGCGGGGATGCCCGAGCCTGCGGTCGCCCCGCTCCCATCCCGGTCACCAGGCAGGTCTGTGAGTCTGTCTGTCCTTCCCACAGCCTCGGCGGCAGCCCCCCCATTTCCTCCCTGTCCCTTCCTGCCCTCCCGCCTCCCTCGGCGGCTGCTCCGTCCCCTTCCTCGGGGGCAAAATTCTCCCCCACCAGCCCCGCCAGTCGGGTTCTTTCTCATTTCCCTCCTCTTCGCAAACCTCCTGGACGTATCCAGGGCCCCACTGCCAAGCTCTGGCTCTACCCAGCAGTTCCCTGGGTGCCCCTAGAGCCCCCATGGTGCCGGGGGTGACACTCACCGGCAGGGTCTGTGGGACGGGGCTTCCCGCCCGGCTCTTCTTGGAGATGGAGGGGGTTTTTATCAGCTCCCGCTTTTTCCTGGAGAACATCGTTGCCGGGGGGCCGAGCCGCTGCCCTGAGCCCCTCGCTCGGGCCGTTCGTGCCGGTTCCTCACGGTCACATTCGCGGGGAGCAGCAGGGGCAGGAGGGCGCGTGTGACGCCGCCTCGTTTCCTCATCGGCTTCGCAGCCCGACCTGAAACAGGAAAAGCCGAACGCGCACCCAGGAGCGAGGCCGGGGCCGGGGTCACGGGGAGCAGCGGGACTCCGGCACTCTCGGGGTTTTGAGAGGGTTTGGGGGCTGCAGTTCGGGGATTACAGAGTTGGGGAGGGGGCTGAGCCCCACTCTGTGGAACCAGGGAGGAACTCCCACCCTCTGGGGAGTTCACCCTGTTTGGGGGTGTCCATCCGTCCAGGGGTGACAAACTCCATCCCTCTGAAAGCCCCAGGTGCGGGGCTGAGTGGGATGGGGGGCTTTGGGCTCCACTTGTGGGATGCTCCCGGCTCTGCCCTTCCGTGGGCTCGGTGTGGGTGCCGGGACCGGCCCTATGGGGTCACAGCCCTGCTCCTGTCCTCCTGTGAGGATCCCACCCGTGACTCTCCCACCCATGGGGCATCACGACCTCACAACGGGGTATCTGGGTTTATCTGTGGGATAAACCCCTGCAGAGAGCCGGACCGGACCCCACGGGCTGCTCGGGACGGCTGCCAGCCCCTGCGGCCCGTCGGGGGCTGATGGTGTCCCCCCCTCGCTCCCCTTCGTCCCGGGACCTCCCCACCGGGCCGGGCCGTCCCGCGTGGAACTTATGCCGGCCCCGTGGGGGCACGGGCACGGCGGAGGGCGAACCAAGGGGAGCGGGAGGCGGTCGGGGATGGGTGGAGGTGCGGGGACGATGGAAGGGGCACGCGTGGCCTGAGTGTGTGCGTGACCGTGGGTGTGAATGTGTGAGTGCATGAGCGAATGTGCAAGTGTGTGTGCGTGTGCAAGGGAGCGCCCATGGGTCGGGGGGTGCGTGTGGGGTGTGTGTGGTTGTGTGCGGGTGTGTTTGGGGTGTGTGTGTTGCGTGTGCGCGCACAACGCGTGCCCGTGGGCCAGGGTGCTCACTCCCGTGCACAGGGATGCACACGCGTGTGTCCGTCTGTCTCTGTGTGCGCGTGTCCGTCTGTCTCTGTGTCCGTGTGTACCCTGTGCCCGTGTGCCCGGGACGGCTCCGGCTCCCGTTCCGACCCCGGGCTCCCCCGAGTCCCGGTGCTCCCCGAGTGGCACTATCGGGGTTCGGGACCCTCCCCTCGATCCGTTTTGGATCCTGCCCTTATTTGGACATTTCTCCCTCCAATCAACGCGGGGGGGGCCGGGCCCGACCCCGCCCCCGCCCCGCCCGAGCCCGCTCCGGTACCGGCCCCGTTGCCCGCTCCCCTCTCCGGTACCGGCTCCGTTCCCCGCCATGAGCAGCTCCCAGTTCAACAAGGGCCCGTCCTACGGCCTCTCCGCCGAAGTCAGGAACCGGGTGAGCCGCGGCGGGGGCCGGGCGGTGCCGGGACCACCGGGCGCGGGTGAAGCGGGGGCCGGGGGATACCGGGGCCACCGGGCGCTGTAGCTGCCGGTGCTCCTGGAGGCCCGGGAGAGCCGAGCATCCCGGTGCTGCTGGGGCGTCCCGGTTGCATCCCGGGTTCTGGAGAGGCGGGGGTTTTTCCGGTATGCCCCAGGACTGCAGAGCCGGCCAAGAGTGGAGAAGTTGGGTGATTTCGGGAAGATGGAAATCCGGGGATTCCCGGGAGGATGCGGAACTGAAGGACCCAGAGATCTCTGAGGGCTGGGGGTACCGAAGCTGGGCTCGCAGTCTCGGGGTGCCCTGAACCTGCCTCGAGGGTCCCAGGGACGTGTTTGGGGACCGCGGCTGGGTCCCTCCCGTGCTTTGGCCGCCGTGGCTCCGCTGTCCCTGGCAAACCTCGGGGAGCCCTTCCCGTCACACCGGGGCTGGGGGCATCTCCTCGGTCCTCTGCAGCTCCGGACCAGCTCCACAAAGCTTCTCCACTTTCTGCTTCCCCGCAGCTCCACATCGCTGTACGGGATGCTCCGACCCGGCAGCGTCCCCGTGGCTCTCTCCGGGGATGCGGTTTTGGCCCCGGTGATTCTCCCGCTAAAGTGCCGCGGGGCAGGAGGGGAAGGAGGGATGGGAGGCTCCGGCTGAGCTGTTTGCACCCCTCGGCGGGATCTGGGTGCCACCGGCACCCTCCTGCCCCCTCGGCAGCGCACGGGGGTGGCACAGGGCCGGGGGTGGCACAGGGGACACAGCAGCCCCGGGGCATCGGTGACTGTGCCCAGGCGAGCAGAGGTCGAGCCGTGGTCAGCCCGGGGCTGGTGGCCGGTGGTCTGAGCGTGTTCTGCTCCAGGGCAGGCAGGAGAAGGGACAAGTGGTGGCGGGATATGGTGGCCGTGGCCGGGCGCTCCTTACCTGGCCTCGCAGGGGATTTGGGATTTTTGCATTTCGTAACGGGAGCGGATGGGATGGGCCCCGGCCTGCCCGGGGCTGGGCTGCCCCAGCTGAGAGGGTGACATGCACCAGGATCTTGGTGCTTCATGTTGATTCAGCAAGACGTGAGCCAGTCCGACTGCCCCGGTGTGTCTGATGGAGGTGACATCACCGACTGGGAACCAGTTGAACCAGTGACATGCTCCCAGTCTGTGGAAGCCCTTGCAGACTGGGCTGCGGTGGGATCTCTCTGGGGCTGGTCCATTGTGCACTCCCCGTGTCCTGGGAAATCCTCAGGCTGGGTGTGGGGAGGGAAGAGGAACTGGCTTCAGCTGCTCACGCTCCAGAAAATCAGCTGGTGGGACTGTAGAATCCCCCAGGCAGGACACACACGGTGTCATGAGGGTGATCTGCATGGCTCGAGCTTCCATTTGCAACTGGAGTGTCTCCCTAGCACCCAGCAGGGCTGGACTGGGCCCATCCCAGTGTCTCCCCGTGTCCAGGATCCCTAGGGACTCGTGGCACATAACAGGACCAGGATGGGTGAGAGGTTGGTGGATGCTCTGAGCACCAGAGGGGCTGTGCTGGGGCAGGACAGCACTCTGGCTTGCCAGGCCCTTCTCTCCCTATCAGGAGAACTTTCCCTTCCCTTATGGGTCAGAGGCTGAGACAGAGATGCTGCTGGCCCTGGCAGCTGGTCTCCATTTGGGAGGAGACGTCCACATTCCTGGCATAGCCGCGGTGAGGGAGGAATCTGTGCCGGAGGTTGGGCCTCGCCAGAAGGGAAAGGGAGAGCATCTCGTGGCCAGGACCCCTGGGGCTCAGAGCTGAGCTCCCACGGGCTCCAGCAGACAGGGAGAGACAAATCTGGGGGGTCACTCCCCCCTAACCCCATGGGCAGTTCCCTTCTCATGCTTTTGGAATGGTTCAGAAGCTGCTGTGTCTGCTGGCAGCATCATCCTCATGCTCCTGTCCCTGCTGCCATAGCAGGGAGGGGGGAACTGTCCCCATGAGGGGTTTGGGGTGCACGCTGGGGCCCTGCCTGAGCTGTCCCCCCACTGTCCCCCAGCTTGCCCAGAAGTATGATCCACAGAAGGAGGCTGAGCTGCGGACGTGGATCGAGAGCGTGACAGGAAAACAGATTGGACCTGACTTCCAGAAGGGGCTGAAGGATGGGGTGATCCTCTGCGAGTGAGTCCTGGGGGGCCCTGGGCATGGCCCCTGCTGCTCCAGCTGGGAGGAGATGGGGGATACCAAGGACCCTCACCAGCCCTTGTGGTGGGAAGGGTGGGCTGGCTGTGTGCCACTGGGACCTGCCAGAGTCACCCCCAGGGCTTCTGTGTCTGGGGAGAGCCCTGAGCACAAACAGGGATCTGGAGGGGGAAATTTGCCCCACATGGAGGAGGCCTGGGCTGGACCTTCTCAAAAGGAGCCTATGCCCTGCAGCCCCTTGAGGTTTTTTCCTGCCACAGCCTCATGTTCCCCTGCCTCCCTCCAGGCTCATGAACAAGCTGCAGCCCAACTCAGTGAGGAAGATCAACCACTCGGCTCAGAACTGGCACCAGGTAGGTGCAGCTCTGCTGCCACCCGCCTGCTGCTCCTCTGCCATCACCCTCCAGGGCTCACCCCTCTACCTCTCCCCAGCTTGAGAACCTCTCCAACTTCATCAAGGCCATGGCCAGCTACGGTATGAACCCCGTGGACCTCTTTGAAGCCAATGACCTTTTTGAGAGCGGGAACCTGACGCAGGTGCAGGTGTCACTGCTGGCCCTGGCGGGAATGGTGAGCACAGAGGGAGGATGAGCAGTTTGGGACCCTGAGTTTGGGGTGGTGCCTGTGGGACCCCACAGCTCCCCCTGCCCAGGGAGTGGGTGGGGGGTTTGGGACCCTTCCTCACAGCCACTCCTGGCAGGCCAAGACGAAGGGGCTGCAGAGCGGGGTGGACATCGGCGTGAAGTACTCGGAGAAGCAGCAGAGGAATTTTGACGAGGCCAAGATGAAGGCTGGGCACTGTGTGATCGGGCTGCAGGTGGGCTGCCACAGGGGAGGCTCCCATGGCTGGGAGCTGGGCAAAGGGTGCCCAGAATTCTGAGTTCTGTCACATTCTCAGCACTGTCACAGCTCCAAGTGTTGCTGGAGGGACCTAAGGCATGAGGGGCCTCAAGTGTCCTTGGGATCTGGGACCATCTTGGCTCTGTGTCCAGCACTCAGTGACTGGGGAGCATGAGATGGGTGAGGGAGCCCTGGCTGTGCTCCCCAGGCTGGGGATGGGGACAGGGGGACAGGGGGCACATGTGGGGCATCATGGATGGGGGAGCATGAGATGGGTTAGGGAGCACTGGCTGTGCTCCCCAGGCTGGGGGGGTTAGGAACAGGGGGAGAAAGGGCACGTGTGGGGCAGCACACATTCCTCACCAGACCCCTTTGTCAGATGGGCACAAACAAGTGTGCCAGCCAGTCTGGCATGACTGCCTATGGCACCCGGAGGCACCTCTACGACCCCAAAAATCAGATCCTGCCACCCATGGACCACTCCACCATCAGCCTCCAGATGGGCACTAACAAGTGTGCCAGTCAGGTGAGCCCCCACGCCGGGCTGGGGAGGGGTGGGAGGGGCACAGCTGAGCCCTTCTCCATCCTGTCCTTCCTTCCAGGTGGGCATGACAGCTCCGGGCACCAGGAGACACATCTACGACTCCAAGATGGGGACAGAGAAGTGTGACAACTCCTCCATGTCGCTGCAGATGGGCTCCAACCAGGGCGCCAACCAGAGCGGGCAGGTCTTTGGCCTCGGCCGCCAGATCTACGACCCCAAGTACTGCCCCCAGGGCAGCCAGGGCGAGGTGGCCAACGCCGCCGGGGAGCAGAGCGGGGACCCGCCCGGGTACCACCACTACCGCGAGGAGGAGGAGGAGAGCTACTGAGCGGGACGGCTCCGCCCCAGCCGCACCATCTCATCAACAGCCACATTCCAGCCTCCAACTTTCATCATTCCCTCTTTTCAAACTCTTTTTTTTTTTTTTTTTTTAACTTTGGAAATGGATCTATTTTTCTGAGCAAGGAAATAAAGACCCTGTTTGTAGAGAGGAGCCCAGCCGATTCCCCCAGGAGCTGCAAGCAGGGAGGTGGCAGATGTTCCAGCAGCTGGGGGAGGACAGTGCCACCTCTCACGCACCCCTGGGATGCCCCTGGATCCCTCAGCAAGGAGCAGGAGAGGCCGCCCGTGCTGCCCCCGGTGCTGCTGCTCGTCCCTGTGCTGGCAGGAGCCTCCTCAGCCCTGTGGAGGAGAGGGACCGGGGTTATGGGGGAAGCACATCTGGGAGAGACCTCGGGATTGGGAGTGTTTGTGAGCGAATGCGTGCGTGCACAGTTTTGTGCTCTGGTGTGATCTCGAAATGCTGGAAATGCCCTTTTTGCAGAACTCGTAGAGACCAAGTTTTCAAGGCCACGGTGATGGCTGCAGGGCTGGGCCGGGAGCTGGCACAGCTGGCACAGCTGGCACAGCTGGCACACCCAGCACTGCAGCAACCTGATGGCCCAGGCTGGAGCCGAGGTTGACTCCAACGCCTGCATCCTCCACCAGGGCGGTGTCCTGCCCATCAACATCTCCTTTCCCGTGCGGTTTTAAAGTGGATGCTCTCAGACTGAAACCATTTATTTGAAAAAAAAAAAAAAAAAGACAAACCTTTCAACACAAATGGGAACTGGTCTGTGCTGCAGGCCCCAGGCGGGTCCCTCTGTGCCTGGGGGGCTGCAGACCTGGCTGAGATCCCTGGAGTGACAGAGCGCTGGGGCGGGATGCTGCGTGTCCCGGGGGAGAGCAGGAGCCGGGAAGGCGCTGCCGGGTTAAGAGATGTGCGGCTAATTAATGAGTGATTAACAATGCCAACGGAACAGCACGGGACGCGCCTGGCCGGGAAGGGATCCACTTTTTTTTGGGCGAAATGCTGCGTTTCGAAGAGCCGCGCTGCTCCGTGGGGGCGCTCAAGGGTGGGGTGGGATGGGATGGGATCCATGGGATGGTATAGGACAAGATTCGTGGGATGGGATAGGATCCATGGGATGGGATCCATGGGATGGGATGGGATGGGATGGGATGGGATGGGATAGGATGGGATCTGTGGGATGGGATCCATGGGATGGGATGGGATCTGTGGGATGGGATCAGTGGGATGGGATGGGATGGGATCCATGGGATGGGATGGGATGGGATGGCATCCGTGGGATGGGATAGGATGGGATTCGTGGGATGGGATGGGATGGGATGGGATGGGATGGCATCCGTGGGATGGGATGGGATAGGATGGGATTCATGGATGGGATGGGATGGAATGGGATCCGTGGGATGGGATAGGATGGGATTCGTGGGATGGGATGGGGGCGGGATTCCCACTCCCCGCCCCCCCTCCGTGCCTGCCCCTTTAAGAGCCGGCTCCCGTGACGTCACGCCCACGGCTACTTTGTAGCGCGGGGAGGGCGGGGCCGGCGCGCGCCCGGCGGATTCGCGGGGTCTCTTAAAGAGGCCGCGCAGCAGCATCAGGTAACGGGGGTCCCGGGCCGGGGGCTGCGAGGGGCCACAGGAGAGGCGAGGCTGTGTCTGTCCCGACCGCTGGTCTCGGCCGGATGCGTCCCCCCAGCGTCCCCTCGAGGCTCTTAGTGCCACCCCGCCCCCCCCCCCCCCCGAGGCTATCCCCGTGTCCCCTTCGTAGCCCCGAACTGTCCCCATGTCCGCTCTGAATTGTCCTCATCGTTCCTTCGAGCTGTCCCCATGCCCTCCCCTGTGTTGTCCGTGTCTCCCCCGGGCTGTCCCCACACCCTCCCGGCCCGTCCGCCTCCCGGTGACTCCGCACCCCGCCCAGAGCGGGGCTCCGTGCGGCCGAACCGTGGGGGACGTGGGGTTGGAGGGCGCCGGGAGCTGCGGTTGGTCCGGCGGTTGCCGGGGTCCGCCGGGCTCCCGGTGCAGCGGGGCGGCGTGTTCGTCCTCGTGTGATGAGTGAGCAGATTCCCACGCGAGTCCCCCGGGAGGATCCAGGGATTCTCCGGTTGTTTTGTCCCGAAAAGAGGCCACCCCCCACCCCCATCCCGCGGGGCTGGGGCTCCCCCGGACCGGCAGTTCCGCTCCGGTTGCAGCGGATGGGGACACTCAGACACCTCTGCCTCCCCGTGTCACCCCCACCCGGCAGCTCCTTCTTCCTCTCCGTGTCACCCCAGCTGACCCCGGTGCATCCCCGGAGGAATCCTACCCCCGGGACCCACTCGTGTCCGGCCCCGCAGGCGGATTAGGCGGATTTCCCAGCCGGGATCCTAATCCCGCTGCCCCGTGCCCGTTTATCCCGCCTGCTCCCGGGACCCGGCTTAGCCCCGGGCGCGAGCGGGCGGCGGCGAGCGCGGGGCGGCGGTGAGTGCGCGGCTCCCCCGGCCCCGGGGCGAAACGAGGGGCAAGTCCGGGGGTGCTGGTGCTGTCCCAGGCTCGCGGTGACCGGGGAGCCGCCCCGGAGCTCGGTTCTCCCCGGGGCGTGGGCGGGTGCACCGGGCGGAACGCTGCGGGTTGGGTCGTGCCGCCGCCGCCACCGGGCTCGTCACGGAGCCGCCTTGGCAGAGCTTTGCTGCCGGGCCCCGGAGCTGCTGGCCCCGCTCCAGGGGTGGGTGAATTCCCGGCAACTTGGCAGAGAGGGATGCGGGTGTCGGAGCTCGCCCCCGAGCCCACTGCACCGGAGCAATTCCGCTCCTGGGCTGATGAGAGCCCCACCCGCATCCCTCTCACGGGGAAACTGAGGCACGGGCAGGTCTCAGCCTCTCCCGGGCTGCCCAGCTCGTTCCTGGGGTGCCGGACTGCTCCCTGTGCCCGGCATGGGCAGTGAATCGCGCTCCTGGCTCCCGGACAGAGCCCGTGCCCAATTCTGGTGCTTTTGGTTTAGGAAAGAATGTGATTTGCGCCTTTAGCTCCGGAAAGGAGCTTTGCTGCCGGAATGCCGTCCGGCTCCTGCCGGCCCCGGAGCTCAGCCCTGTGCCCGGCACCGTGCCCGGCCTGTGATAAGCCCCGAAGCAGAAGGAACTGAGAGCCCGATCGTCACCCCCCAGCTCGGGGCTGCCCCCCCGCTCTCAGCCGGAGCCGAGCGATGGCCGTGGGCACCCAGCTGGGGCTGCTGCTCTGGAAGAACTTCACCTACCGCCGGCGGCAGCGGGTGAGTGGGCGACTGGGGCAACCCCAAGCCGCTGGTGCCTGGCACAGGGGCAGGCAGAGCCCTGGACGCTGATGGGAACCGGCCTCGCGTGTCCACCAGATCCAGCTGGCTATCGAGATCCTGTGGCCCCTCTTCCTCTTCCTTATCTTGATCTCAGTGCGCCGATCCCACCCGCCCTTCAAGCAGCATGAGTGTGAGTGTCCCCGAGCCAGCCGAGCCCCCTCTGTGTGCCCTTGTCCCACCGGGGGGACAAACACGGGAGGTGGCCACAGGGTGCTCGGGTGTGTGGGGGGTCCTGCAGTGCCCCCCTGAACCTGCCTCCCTTTCCCTCAGGCCACTTTCCCAACAAGGCGCTGCCCTCTGCGGGGACCCTGCCCTGGCTGCAGGGCATCATCTGCAACATGAACAACCCCTGCTTCCGACACCCCACGGCGGGAGAGGCCCCTGGCGTGGTGGGCAACTTCGATGGCTCCATGTGAGCGGCGGGGCCGGGCAGCTGCGGGGCACAGCGGGGCTGGGCTGGGGTCTCACTGCCCCCCCCCTGTCCCCTGTCACAGCGTCTCCCGTCTCCTGAGCGAAGCCCGGCAGGTCCTGCTCCGCGGGCACGGGCAGCGGCTCCTGAGCAGCTTTGCCCGGCTCCTGCCCGCCCTGCGCCGGCTCCGGGACAGCGCGAACCAGCGGAGGGGTGAGCACCGGGGGCGGGGGGTGCCGGGGCAGCCAGACCCCTTGTCTGACCCCTGCTCCCCCAGCTCTGCCGGTGAGGGAATACTTGAGAGAGGACGAGACTTTCTCCCGGTTCCTGCGGGCCAACACATCCCTGCCCCCGGCGCTGGTGGATGAGCTGATGGGGGCTCGGCTCAGCCCCCGCATCGTGAGTGTCCCGCGGTGCCCGCTCCCGGTGTTCGCTCCCGGTGTTCACTCCCGGTGTTCACTCCCGGTGCTCGCTCCCGGTGTTCACTCCCGGTGCCCATTCCCGGTGTTCACTCCCGGTGTTCACTCCCGGTGTTCACTCCCGGTGCCCGCTCCCGGTGTTCACTCCCGGTGCCCATTCCCGGTGTTAACTCCCGGTGCCCATTCCCGGTGTTCGCTCCCTGTGCCCCCTCCCGGTGACCGCATCGTGAATTCCTCTCTCCTTCCAGTTCTCCTTGGCGAGCCTTCGCCTCCCGCTGAAGGTCCTGGTCTGCAACGCCTCGGTCCTGGGGGGATTCCTGGTGGGCGGCGACGCCGACTCCACCCAGAGCCTGCAGCAAGAGCTCTGCGCGCTGCCCAGCTCCCAGCTCCGTGCCATGGAGGGCTCCTTCCTCTCCCAGATGGACTTCCCACGACTCCTGGCGGTGAGGCCCCAGCGCGGTCGGGTGCTGGAAGGAGGCAGAGACCCCCTGGCCTCCCCTGACCCCTTCTCATGCCCCTTGTAGGAACAGCTGAGCTCAGAGTTGGGTGGAATCGCTGGCACCGTGGAAGCTTTGGGCAGCTTCCTGCGGGATGCAGCCTCCCTGATGGAGGAGGTACAGCCCTCACTCCCCTGCCCCCTGCTCGCCCCCACCGTGTCCCTGTCCCCCACTGCCCCTCTCCACACTCACCCCACTCCCCCCAGGTCTCCTCCATGACCAGCCTGGCCGAGCTGCGTCAGGAGATTGAGGGGCTGAGGGCCCCCAACAGCAGCACGGGTGCCTTCAGAGCCCTGTCCCGCATCGCCTGTGGCCACCCCGAGGGCGGGGGCCTCAGGATCCCCTCCCTCAACTGGTACGAGGACAACGATGTCAAAGCCTTCCTGGACCGGAACAGCTCGGAGCACAGGCCCGTGGCCTCAGGCAGCACCAGTGAGTGTGGGGGGCTGTGGGAGGCTCAGCCAGGGGCTGTGGGGGGCTGGTGGTGGGGGGCTGGTGGTGAGGGCTCA